CAGAAGGCAAAACATGACCCAGCAGTGTGACCTGGTAGCAAAGGCAGCCAGCAGAGTCCTGGAGTCCTTTAAAACCAGAACTTTTGATCCAATGGAACCCAGCGTTACCTTGAGCTTAACCCCAACACCACTGAGAACAAAAGGAGAACAGAAAATATAAAAGACCACTTCCTTAGACATTTTCTTGGAAGCAGCTCTGGTGGAAGAGCCCAGCCTTCAGGCACTGCACCCAGGAGGTGCCCTTTTATTGAAGAGTTGAAAGCTGACAGGCCACATCTGACACAGTATTGTGCAAGTGTCAGACTCAGCAGGATCAAATCTCCACACAGAAGGAATATAAACCCAGAAAATTATCTCAAAGTAGAATTATGAAAAGAGAGAAAAGCAGACTCGTGGCATAAGATAAACTCTGGGAAATGTGCAGAGGAGGGGAGGCAGACTATTGTCAGTGAAACAGCACTGATTGAATCAGTTGCCATACTGCATCCTTGATTTCCTTGTTCCTCATGCTGTAGATGAGGGGGTTCATTGCAGGGGGCACAACCGAGTACACCACTGCCACCACCAGGTCTAGAAATGGTGAGGAGATGGAGGGGGGCTTCAGGTAGGCAAACATGCCAGTGCTGATAAACAGGGAGACCACGGCCAGGTGAGGGAGGCACGTGGAAAAGGCTTTGTGGCGTCCCTGCTCAGAGGGGATCCTCAGCACGGCCCTGAAGATCTGCACGTAGGACAGCACGATGAAAACAAAACATCCCAAAAAAAGAAAACCACTAACCACAAGAAGTCCAACCTCCCTGAGGTAGGAGTGTGAGCAGGAAAGCTTGAGGATTGGGGGGATTTCACAGAAGAACTGGTCCACAACATTACCGTGGCAGAGGGGTATGGAAAACGTATTGGCCGTGTGCAGGAGAGCATAGAGGAAGCCACTGCACCAGGCAGCTGCTGCCATGTGGACACAAGCTCTGCTGCCCAGGAGGGTCCCATAGTGCAAGGGCTTGCAGATGGCAATGTAGCGGTCATAGGCCATGATGGTGAGAATAAAATACTCTGCTGAAATCAAAACTACCAACAGGAAAACTTGGGCAGCACATCCTGCATAGGAGATGTCCCT